CCTCACAAGTATAACGTTAAAACAACTACAATAAGCAATATATTAACTACAATCAATTAACGTTTCTCGAAAAAAAACAGTCAAATTTTTTAAAAATGCAGTTTTTTTATACCAATTGGTCAAAACATTCTGTACTACCTGCGCAGCCAGCAACCGGCTATCCTTTTACCTTTCAAATTTCAATTATCATTTTGCTATTAATTTCATCTGTTGTCACCTGTGCTAAGGCTGAGGAGTTTGATTGGTCCGACCAATTCAGTAGGGTTGACTCAGAAGAACTATGGGGTATAGCGGTTTTTCCATAGCAATTTAGGCACACCAAGGAAACCTCGTAATTCAAAAAAAAATCAAAAAAAATTGTCAGTGTCCAGAAAAACTCGTCTAACTACTTTCGTTTTTTTGACAAATTTAGAGCTCCGTGGCTTAGCTTCATTTCATGATAATTTGTCAAAAAGTTAATGAAGTTTCTATCTAAAATTTTTCATTTCAGTTTCTGTTCCAATTGATTATAATTCTGTCCAATGTCTTAAATTCGCATGAGCTGCTGAAGTGTAATACAACTCAGCAAATATTGCCTTCTACGGAAAAGCTTGAAAGAAAAAGTAAAATGGATTTGAAATTCCCTGCTTAATAACTTCGTTTGCCACTTTTTTTTGTTTCAATGATTTCAGTATAGTTCCGTGCCAGATTTTAAAAACTTTTGCAACTTTTGAAACACTAGTGCAATATCTGAAAGGCTAGAGCGATATTTAAACAATGCAACTTGTGTTTCAAATTTTGCACTAGTTTTTCGAATATCAAATTTAAACACTAGTGCAATTTCTTTCCTAGAACAATCAACCAAAACAAATTAGAAAGTAAAAACAACGTGTGAGCGTGAAAATTTGGGTATTTTTTCAAACTTTTCACATGCCTGTGATACCAGATAAGCATCAGCCTATATTGCATCTCGAGTTTTGTTCACATCTGCGCGTCTTGATTTGTTCACAAATTTTCGCGATCTGCTTATCGAATTGCTTATCTACTACACAATTAAAAATCAAGTGATTTTTTAAATCTCTTGAAAGAAACGCTTCGAATTTGTTTAAAGGAAAATAGTAACTTCTGTTTTTTCTTGTCCTAGGTTTGCATTTAGAGTAAACTACCATAGCATGGGTGTTTTGTAAAGAAAGTGTTTTGACGGGCGGTGTTTTGAGTCTTTTGTCGGCCTTTTTTCCAAAACACTCAGTTTCAATTTTTCTAATTCTGCCATTTCATTTTCAGTTTCTTAGGTTTAAAATTTCCATAACTTGGATTTTAGTGTTCTTGTTTAATGCGTTTTTGAATTAAAATTGACCTAAAAACTGCGTCTTGATGAAAGAAAACGTTCAAAATTTTAACGTATTCAAAATTTTAGAAACTGTTAATACCTTGTCGCCTGAAACTTTAGCACTGGACTGCAGGTCCTGGTGCAATTTGACAGTGGCCTCCTTGTTGACCTTGAACAGTTTAGTCACCACACACAGAACCTTCCTAGTCCCGGGTGATTTCTTCATCTCGTGCGCCACTGCAGTCGGAACACTGCTGAAACCAGGCGGTTTCAATTGCAATAAAACCTGGATGAGTCGGACCGGTAATAAAGGTTTTGCAAGGCGCTTCAAATATAGCTCATGCATAGAATGGCCGTATTGTCGCCGAGTCATGAAAATTGAAATGATAATCACTAGGCCTAGCTGAACGGGTCACTTGAAGTCTAATTTTTCCATTTCTTGAAAGGTGTGACGGAATTTTTGGTCTTGTGTGTGTGTGGGGGGGTATTTAGACTAATTGCAACTTTTTGAATGAGTCTTTTTGGCGGGAAATTTTTGTACCATCAGAAAATATCAATGCCCTAAGCTCAAATTTAAAAAAAAGATTCCACTTGTGATTTGTTGGTGAAATGATTGGGTCATGAAAAAAGCAAATGTGGTCAATTTTGGCCCGAATTAAAATGCGCGAAATCACCAATTTATTATAAGCGCGTAAGCAATGCGGTGAATTAATCCAGCTCTGAAATCATTCCATACTGAATGGAACTCAACCACCAATTGACGTCACACCGTAAAGGAGATTCGAAACATTCGGGGCTTAGCCCTGTTGCGAGTAGTCTTTTTGTTCCTACTTCTGAAAAAAGTGATGAATATATATGTTTAGGTTGGTTTTTTTACTCTGAACATTAAAATTACTCACTAGTTTTGAATTGCCTCGGGGTTCAAATCAAGTCTCGTGACCTTGCCAAGATCAGCTTTGATTTTGTAAGCATAGCTCAAACTTCCACTGACGCCTATCTAAAACACTAACTTCAGAAAATCAAATCGTAATGCAACACTTTTTCTGCATTCTGGCCGTTATTCCGCCGTTGAAACAATTTGGCTTTTCTTATGGATATGATGTAATCTGGCCGTATGGTTGGCAATTGATCGGCAAAATGAACATTGTGGAACTCGATCTTAAATCTTTCACGGAAATGCATTGCAAAAACAACTGGTAAACGAATGGTTTCTGACAATTTTAATAAAATGTAGTTCTATTTTGCTATTTTGGCACCAAGGAAAGTAGTTCGACAATTTTATCACGATTTATGTCAGTGTATTTTTTTGAATGCCTTATTATTTTCCCCGCAAAATCAGGCACCACAAATAATCATCGAATGCGCCGAGTAATATATCCTTTTGAAATCTTTTCAGTCGTGATTCAAACTTCATTTTGAAAACATATTCAGCACTAACTCGAACGAGGTTAAAAAAATTTCCAAAAAATTGTCTCAGTGTCGAGAAAAACCGGTTTGAAATTTTCCAAGTCTTAGTCTAATTTCCAGCAAGTGAAGCAACCGAGTAGGCTTCTTATAGAAGGATAAACCAAAAAATTTAGTTTAAATCCAATCAAACTATTTTTCGAAGTTTTTTTAGTGCTATCTTGAGAACAAAAAAAATCAAAATTTGAAGAAAAAAAATTCTGCAAAAAACTGAAAAAAAAATTTTTTTTTTTCGATTTTTTCTTCGTTTTTTTCTTTTCATTTTTCAAGCAAAACCGTTGCCCGATTCCTTTTTTTCTACTGTGACTGTCAAACATGCCTAAACTTCATGTTTTTGTCAGATCCGTTTATCACCCGACTCACAAAAACCAACACCAATTTGAAAAAAAAACACGAAAATGTTTTTAGATATTTTTTGCGAGTACGGTCGGAATAATCTGTGCTACTTTCACAGCAATCGGTCAGCCTTGTTTTTTTTGCAATTGAAAGTAATGTTATAAGTTATTGGTTAATTTTTTTATATGAACTGTTTGCTTGATTTCGAAAAGTTGTTTACGATTTCTAGTGTTGATTACCACCCGTGTTGAGGTGGTCGCCTTGTATTCGATTATGTTTCGATCAGGTGTTTGATTATGTTTTGAAATTGTGCGCGACGGAATGGATTTTCTCGACCACAGTCTTTGCCAGGGTCGAACAATGTCTGTGTATTCGTTCAATTCGGTTGAACCATTATGCATTGTTTTTCGTTAAGAAATTCAAAATATATTCGGATACTGGATATCAATTTCGGTTGGTGACGCTTCGTAGGTATCAGTGTGTACCGGTATTCCTAGAAAAACAAACAAAACATTTTGCTCGATATTTAGAAGAAATGAAAATATCCAAATTATTGATGTTTTCTTAGACTCCATTTACCCTCTCTACTTAAATCCTAGACAATTTTTTAGAAAAATTAAGATTCAGCCTTCTGAAATAAAAAAAACCAAAGCTCGTGAGTTCTAATTAATTGTCGAGTCGCACATCAGATACAGATTTTGGTAACGAGTTCGTCATACCTCCTTGAGAGCAGATACATTTGCAGAGTTCTTGTCATTCATGTTGATCATCTTCTTGATGTCATTCAGAACCAGCACTTCACTTGTGCTCTGTTTGCTCGAGTCCAAGCTCACCGTGAGAGGACACAGGAACTCACAACTATCAGCAAAAAATACATGAACTATATTGTGCATTTTTGATTTTCTCAAGGTGTGGGCGAAGTTTCTCGCGTCGATGAGTGACATATTTTCTTGAAACATAATCAATATAAACAAAACAAAAAAAAAAATCGAAGGTTTTGACGATAAAAACGCTTATTTTAGAAAATTTTGACAAAATAAATTTGGAATGGTTTCTAGAATGTTTTGACTTTATGGACGATCTTAACCAAAAAACCGCGCTTTTTTAACGCGTTTTAACTCCTCAAAATTAGTTTATATAGGCGCCAAAAGCGTTTTTAAAAAAGTTTTGGCCCTTTTCCACTTTATCCCCATATTTCAAATGTAAAATTTTCTTGGTTGTATTATATGTGATTATAGATAAATGCGTGATGTTACGATGTTAAGGTCTTAGAAGAAAAAATCTGTTCACAATAATTACTTTGTTCGCCCTACAAAACTTCATTGCATTATGACAATGTTGAAATAGTTTTTCGAAACTGAAAATTAAATAAGGGGGTAGTCAGAAAGAGCCAAATTTTTGTGCTGATCGGTCAAAAAGCGATGCTATTAACATAAACTATAGAGTAGTACCGACCAAAAAATTTTCCTGATATCAGCTACCAACTAATAATTTTCAAACTAAAAATCTTAAAATCTTGTCTGTATAGTTAGTTTTCTCAAAAAAAACAGGGACAGTTTTTAAACTCCATGGCACTATTTTAACTTGCATGTCCAAAGAGTGGAACGATAAAATGACGAGAAAAGCCCTTAGAACACCTGTGATAGTTTTTCATCCACCGGTTTTCTAAACTATGTAAAATGATAAGGAGTACCGTACCAATTCGGAGTACCAAATGATAAGGAGTACCGTACGAAGCGAGTATTCGTACCAATTCTTAAACGCAAAAATTGGTCGCATGGCAATGTAAACAGGATTCTTTGCTAAGTAGTTCCGAGAAAATTTCCATTTGAAGTCCCACACCCGCTAGGTTATGGCATACACAAATTCATTTCAAATTGATTACAGATTTAATTTGGAAAACTGCTCTGCAACGAATTGTCGCTTTTTCAAAAGCTAGGAGTTGTCACTTGCTACATATTGTGCCTCAAGTTTTCCTCCAAATAAAAGTTCAAAACTACAAATATCAAAGCTTTTTGTCAAAGATTTTCGAAAAAATTCAACCATAATTTGAGAAAGTTTCAAAACATACATTTGGAGTTTTGGAGAATGCTTTATGACCGGTATTTTTTCTTTAAAAACTAGCCAAACTAGATACATCTCGATCAAATATTATTTTTTATTCCAGTAGAAAATCTAAAAGTTTACAGATTATTTGGACCCAAAAGTCCGCAGTCTTAAAAGGAGAGCTCAATTTACGTTCCTTGTTGCTAAAATTTTTAATTTCAACCTAAAAAAAAATCTCAAGTCAAACTGCAAGAATTGCGCACAACCACATTTGAAGGTTTTTTTTGAAATTAAAGCCCAAAAAATTATCACTAACTAAATAAGTGTTTTCACTACGTTCATTGAGACTTAAAAAAAAACTACTGAACTGCTAAAAAATTGACGTTTTCACAACGTTTTGTCACAATGATTCTTCTTTTAAAAGATAATAATATCTGTAGCATCATTAAGAAAAAAATTTCTGTTGGCTGAAAGTCAAAACACCCAAGCATAATCAAACTGGTAGTCTACGTTTTATCAGATGACTGAGTTGAAAAAATTGTCTCAAATTTCACAGAGTCAAAAAAACAGTCATACATTTTCGTCGTTCTTATAACATATGGCATGCGGTACTCTTTTTACCCTTTCGAATTGATAAAGGACAAAAACCCGTCCTAAATACCGAAAAACATCATTTTGTATCAAAAACATTGCATCAAAAATATTGACTAATAGTTCAAGTTCTGGAGCAAAAGGTGTTCTGATTTCAATATGAAACAAAGATAGCCTGTTACTCTACAAGTGGCTCAGAATACTCCGACCATAATCTTAAAAAATACGAAAAATTTTATACAAATTAATATCGTTTTTTTTCAGCGTGTTGTGATAAAAACGATCTGAACCAAAAATTGGAACTTAGGAACAACATACCAAAAAAATCAGCTCGAAGCAAAAGATTGCATCAAAAATATTGACTGGTATTTCACACTGTCCAGCAAAGGACCCTAGTATATTCTTGCCGGTTTTGAATTTTTGAAGTTTGTAAATCCAAATGGCGCTACAACAAAATTTTAAAAACAAGCTTACTTGAGCAAAACCAGGGGTGGATTTAAGGGGAGCGGGGAAAACATCATTTTGTATCGAAAACATTGCATCAAAAATATTGACTAATAGTTCAAGTTGTCGAGCAAAAGGTGTTCTGATTTCAATATGAAACAAGGATAGCCTGTTACTCTACCAGTGGCTCAGAATACTCCGACCATAATCTTAAAAAATACGAAAAATATTATACAAATTAATATCGCTTTTTTTTAGTGTGTTGAGATAAAAACTATCTGAACCAAAAATCTGAACTTAGGAATAACATACCAAAAAAATCAACTCGAAGCAAAAAAATTGAATGAAAAATATTGACTGGTATTTCACACTGTCCAGCAAAAGACCCTAGTATAATCTTGCCGGTTTTTGAATTTTTGAAGTTTGTAAATCCAAATGACGCTACAACAAATTTTTAAAAACAGCATTACTTGAGCAAAACCAGGGGTGGATTTAAGGAGGGCGGGGGGAAAACATCATTTTGTATCATAAACATTGCATCAAAAATATTGACTAATAGTTCAAGTTGTCGAGCAAAAGGTGTTCTGATTTCAATATGAAACAAGGATAGCCTGTTACTCTACCAGTGGCTCAGAATACTCCGACCATAATCTTAAAAAATACAAAAATTTTTGTACAAATTAATGTCGGTTTTTTTAGCGTGTTGTGATAAAAACGATCTGAACCAAAAATCGGAACTTAGGAATACCAAAAAAATCAACCCGAAGCAAAAGATTGCATCAAAAATATTGACTGGTATTTCACACTGTCCAGCAAAAGGCCCTAGTATGTTCTTGCCGGTTTTTAAATTTTTGAAGTTTGTAAATCCAAGTGACGCTAAAACAAAATTTTAAAAACAACATTGCATGAGCAAAACCAGGGGTGGATTTAAGGGGGGCGGGGGAAAAACATCATTTTGTATCAAAAACATTGCATCAAAAATATTGACTAATAGTTCAAGGTGTCGAGCAAAAGGTGTTCTGATTTCAATATGAAACAAGGATAGCCTGTTACTCTACAAGTGGCTCAGAATACTCCGACCATAATCTTAAAAAATACGAAAAATTTTATACAAATTAAAATCGTTTTTTTTTTCAGCGTGATGTGATAAAAACGATCTGAACCAAAAATTGGAACTTAGGAATAACATACCAAAAAAATCAACTCGAAGCAAAAGATTGTATCAAAACTATTGACTGGTATTTCACACTGTCCAGCAAAAGACCCTAGTATGTTCTTGCCGGTTTTTGAATTTTTGAAGTTTGTAAATCCAAATGACGCTACAACAAAATTTAAAAAACAACATTACTTGAGCAAAACCAGGGGTGGATTTAAGGGGAGCGGGGGCGGATGCCGCCCTCTCTCCAGAGACTCGACCCTCTGCCGACCCAAATTGTCCTCCTTTTGTACTATTTTGAAATATCCATTTTTGTTGATGGACCCGCCAAAATACGCTAATTTTGAGTGAGAGCACGTGTGGAAAATACGCAATTTTTTGATCAAAACATTCCAGAAAATGCCTAAAAAAGCCCTTTTTGGCCTGATTTTTCAAAATTTTGCCTGGTACTTTTTAGTGCTTTTGGGGAGCTCGAAAAATCAATTTGGTCGACCTAAAAAAAAGGTCGACAAATTTTCGAAAATTTTTTGAAAATCCGCCCCTTCTCGAGAAAATCCTTGATCCGCCCCTGAAAAAAAATTGAGTAAAACCAAAACAACTATTCCAAACTAACTTGGCTTAACTTATGGCGATCGACCAAATCGCAGCTAGTTAAAAAGGGATCTTTCTGAATGTTGATAAGACTTTCCTATTCTTATTCACAGAAAAAGTTTCTTTCTCTCGTGAACAAGTTTATTGTTTCAAATATAGGGGACAACATCAAATATAGAACATGGGTTATTGGATATCGGTTGATTGTGATAGTGATGGTGATTCTGATGATTTGGTATATTTTCGCTTGGCTTATATCCCGTACATTTTCATATTTTCAACATTCCATCTGTTGGTTAAACCAATCAGAAAGAAACAACATATGTCGTAATGGTTGCTTTTGGTGATATTTTATCCACTGAGCAAACACATAACTTCAAGGTAGCATATGGTAAAAGTTTAAGAATTGTGTTTCTGATTTCAATTCAGAACACAACTTTACTTTGGTAAAACTTTATTTGAGTAGAACTTTACTTAAGTAAAAGTAAAAAGTAATCATTTTTAATAGTTGTTTATCGTTTCTAGTCGCTTGAATTTATTCTACATTTGGACATATGAATGTTCAATGGCAACTTGGGCGCAATTTCTTCGGTCGAGAAAGCCGAGATACGTGAGGCCCATTCTAACTGTAGTCGAGCCAGCCAAAATTTATCTGATCTTTGTCAAAAAATTATCAGATTCACACGTTTTTGATCGAGAAACTTCAGACATACCCAATTTCGGGTAAAAAGTCCAGCTAATGTGTTTTGGTCGAGTAAGTTCAGAGAAGCCAGATTTGGGTCATAGCGGTTCAGAATTTCAACCCACGCATTTTCGCGAAACCCTCCTTTACAGCTATCATAGGACAAACATTTTGGCCGATTAGCCCTTCCATTTTAATATACTTGAGTTTCGAGGGGAGAGCACACGTCGAAAACATTCAATTTTTCAGTCAATTTTTTGAAAACTGCCCAAAAACGCCGATTTTGTCAGGCAAAATATTTTGCCAAAGTAGTGTCTTCTGAGAGCTTTGCTCAACAATTGAGTCGAACAAAAACAAAATTAAAACTCCGATGCATAGATTCACCCCTGCCACTGGTGTAAGCGCTTTCTTGTATTTTATAAAGTATAGCATTACGAGGCCAAACTGTGTACTGGATAGGTGCACAATGCTTAAAAAGAGAAATAAGTTTCTGACCTGGTGCTCTGCCAAAAGTGATTCGGGAGATGTTTGATGACGAATGTTCCGACTTGTACTTGTGAGGCCTCGTGGACGGAAGAGGCTGCTACCACTGACTGCCCCATTCCCAGGGTGGAGTTTGAGGAGGAACCATCACACACAGAAGTCACAAAGTCTGTCGCCAAGGTACGGAACATTTCTGGTCCCAGTGATTGAAGTGGGATACCTTTATGTGACTTTTTTTTGTTCTTTTTCTTCTTGTGGTGTGAAGATGTCGACTTTTTATGATGGTCTTCCAGATCGGAAATTAGAAAATGCAGAACATGCACAGAGCTTGATGAAAAACTGTGAAAAAAATAAGAGCTGGAAAGTAGACTAAAATATAAAATACGCAAGTGTTGTTAATAATGATAAACTCTGATGTGCACTTGTGTGTGGATGTTTGCTAAATTGTCAAATGTTAAGCTTTTGTTACGTTATGCTCAAGCGAGCAAAAAAATCAGTGCGCTTGAAAAAGCAATATAGTTATATCAAAGAGAGACTAAAAAGAAAAGAATTGAGGGAAAGATGCTTCTCGCTATCTCGCTAGAGATATCAATTTTAAGAAGGAATATAACTATAAAGGCTGCAATAACGAAATCATCTCAATGTGTCAATACTCAAAACAAAAGTAAAATTTTAGTTTCAGTTTAACACACTTTGAACCGTGAAAAGTTTTCATTTTCGTTTTTGTTCAGCGATAGATGTAAATAGATATACCATGTTCTTTTTTTTCCTCAGAACTGATTCTGGTCGTTTTTGTTTCGCTTTAGTATTGTGGAAAGAACTAAAAGGCTCAAAAATAGTTTTAAAGTTTTTGCAGACCGCTTGAAGCTTCTAGGTTTAAAATTCGTATATTTTTATGACAGGAAAAATTGGAAATGCATCCGGGGTTGAAGTCAAAATGACAATAAATATTAGTGCTTAAAAAATCATTTTTTATACTAACGCACTCCGCACATTTTTTCAAGACAAAATTTGAGCTGAAAATTTAGTTCATTGCGCACAAAGTTAATCGTGAAAAACTACTCAATTTTGCACATGAATTTTTGCTTTTCTAAGCTTGTCATTAGCAAGCATTATCAGATCGCTATATAGATTTTTTGCGGGCTAACAACTTGTTTAAAAGAATCGCTTGGTTTCTTGGATCATAATGAATTCAGAATTTGTATGCGCCTTCGACACAATTAGTCTGGAGGTAACGAATATGAAGTATTTTCTTTCAATTAAAAATTTGTCTATGATTTGTCTGCTTATCGGTTGTCGGCTTAGTTGTCACATCTCGGAATCGTTTTTTTTTTGCTGCGCGCATTTTCATTACATTTTTTTTAGTGTTTGATTTACTGCTACAATTTGTAGTCTTACTTAGCTGGACTTCGTATTTTCTTCTTTGTTTTTTTGTTTTTTTTCTATTTCGCTGAAGAACTTCCTTGGCCGAAATTATTTTGACCTTTTTTATTGGCTTAATGACCCAATTTTGAATAGTTTCAAGTAAAATACGAAGTAAAAGACTGCCCTCCGCACTTTTCAAAGTGGTTGTATGTTTATCACTTGGTGTGTTGAATTTTTTTGTTCGTTAAGAAAAATAGTTTTCATTTTGATTGAAAAATTTTTAGTTTTTTCTAAGAAACTTCTATTGATCTTCAAAATTATGGTTTCGATTGAAAGTCCTCCTACTCCCCTGTGTGCCTGTATACTCCCCTAGAGTCACTTTTTTCTTGACCCCTCCGTAAATTGTCTGTGGGAAAAAGTTTTACATATTTTTTTAGTAATTTTTTCGTTTTCCCAAACATTAGCTTCCCAAATCTAAGTTTATGATTTCAAAAAAAGAATGACTTTTAAAAAATCCCTGCATAAGACGGTACAGCGAAAATTGTTTACACATAAAGCAATGGCACTCGGACTTGTCAAACTTTTGATTTGTGACCGTTTTGAGACTCTTTTTGTCTTTTCTCGAAAACTAAGCTCTCAAATCTGATATTGTGGGACCAACGAAGATAAAAAATTTAGGAAGTTTCCCTGAATTAGCGGCCAGTGACAAAAATTTTTACACAAAAACAATCGCCTTCGGAAAAGACCATTCTTTGACAATTTATTTAAAATTTTTTGATTATTCTTGGAAACTACCCTGCCCTATCTGAGTTTTGGGATTCCTTTCAAAGAACGATCTGCGGAAAACACGTAAGTTTATGCAACTACGCCTAAAGTCTTTGAAAACCAAAAGTTGTGGCCCTCGGAAATGTCAAAGCTTTGATTTCTGACCGTTTGTTTCTTAAGTTTTTCTTGAGAAAAACTATCCCAAACCTACAGTTTTGGGTTCAACCGAAATTACAGATTGCATAAACTTCTTCTGCATAAGCAGCTACACCCTGTTTTTTCACACAAAAAACTGTGAATTTCGGATATGTTAATTTTTTTTTCTTGTTGACTGTTTTTTGAACTTTCCTCGCCAACTAACCTGCCAAAACTGACATAATACACTTAACCATAATAACAGCTTGTTGAGAGCCTTCCTCTATATTTGGCTGTGCCCGGTTTGTTTAAGAAAAAAGTTATGACCTTCAAGCAATTCAAAGAAATGAAACATTGACAAGTTTTTGGAAAATTTCTGATTTGACTACCGTGCCAGTTCTCAGGTTGTGTTCAATTGAGAAACACGGTTATGGGACTCTTTTTTGCTGAAGCAGCACTAACCTGTTTTTAAAAAAAAGATATGGTTTAGAAAGTTTTTGACGTTTTTGACTGTTTTTTTAGCAACTGTTACATTTTTCTTAAAATTTACACAATTGAATCTAAGATGAAAAGTTGAGTTGAAACAACCGGTTGCAATAATTGTTCCTGCGGTAACGGCGGCGCCTTAATTTTTTATGTAAAAGAAACGTCATTTTCTTTGGAAAATTGATTATCTCAAATTTGTTCAATCTTACTTCTTTTAGTAAAGAAACAACTAATTTGGATTTGGGCAAAGTCCAATTTTTGAAATCTCATTTTTAGTGCCGCATCAGTATAGCAAACTCATTCGTCATCAAACACCTACCTCCATTTTCAGTTACGCTCTCAATTGTTTTTTAGAGAAAACTAGGTTCACCCAGTTTTATGTTTTTTTTTTATAATTAAGTTTGTTTTTATTTGTGTTCAAATGCTTCGCCTCTCTGTTTAAATTTCTGTTATTTTACTCTTGCCGAAAATGATTTTGTTTGTTAAAAAAGCGGGGAAATAAGCAGATAAAGCGGAATATTCCCCTCATTTCACAGATGATTTTCATTAGAACTTTTAATCACATAAGCTTATCCGTTAAGTTTTCGTGCTACGAATCTAGATTTGGTCTAACTAGAGTTGTGGAGAAAGTCATAACGCATATAATCATTCGCATAACCAATTATGTAACGAAAAAATTGTTCTTTTTTCTGCTATGTTTTCGAATGTCCAAGTCCAGGTAGGGCATTACAGGTCTTCAGCGCTTTGCCCGCCTCATCAAGATCGCGTATCAGTACTTTGCATTGGCTCCTGTTGTTAACAAGTTTTTTTTGCAAGGGTCAAATTAATCTGTTTTTTCTTTCTTACTGAAATTCATTATAGCTTCACACCCTTCTTTATTTTGTCCCAGACTGTCCTAGTCCAGGTTCTGTTGACTCCTCCTAGTGGTCTTCACCAGATTTTTTTTCCAATTTCTAGAGGTTCGACCGGTATCTCCTGTTCGTTCATTCTTAGAACAAGTAGCCATCCCAGACGACATCTTTAGTTGGCGCAGCTCTGCTTAACATTCTTTGGAAGAAGTTGATTCTGATTGCTGCTTCCCACTCTCGTGGGGCTTTCCGTTTTTTTTTCCACGCGCAGTGATAAAAAATGCAGTCTCATGGGTACAGCGACAATTCGCAAGAAAAGACAACTCGCAACAAAAGACAACTCGCAAAATTTAAGCGAAACAACAACTCGCAAGTTTTTGAAGCGTATTGCAAAGTTTATATTCTCGATTTTAGGTAACCGGCTCTAAATTTCGTATAAAGCCGTACCCTCTGTTGGCAAGCTCGCAACACGTTGTCGCGATTGCAGCGATGAGTATATTGCGAGTTGTCTTTCAATGAGTTGTCTTTTATTGTGAGTTGTCTTTTCTTGCTAGTTGTCGCATTACGAGTCTCATGGCCCGACTTCATGGCCCGATGGTAGCGTTGGTTACTTCATACTAACTTGACTTTTTTTCACTTCAAATCTCACACTTCTTTTTACTTGTCTTGTTTTGGGTTCAATCAAAACAAGTGCTTGTTCGTGGGAAGCCCACTCCCCCCACATAACCCACTAAGTCCAATTTTTTTTTCTAAAAATTTAGGACCTTCAAAAAAAACAAATATTTTATTTTTTGATCATTTTTTTCACTATTTTGACCTGTCTCAAAAACTACCCACCCAAATTTGGTTCAATCAAACCAAACTAACCTGGTGTGGGAAGCGCCCTCGCTTATTTAGCTGAGCTCAATTTTTTACACAAATGTTAAGGCCCTTGGAAAAAACAAAAAATTATTTTTTTCAATTATTCAACTTTTCTCGAAGAGCACCCTCAGCAACCTTAGTTTTTGCGTTCAATCGAAAACAGAAGGTGTTATTTTGTTCTGTATAAGCCGATACGCGCACAAATTTTTGAAAAATAATTATATGATTCACGGAAAAGTAAAGTTTTTGGTCTGATGACCGTTTTTTGGAAACTTTTGGAGTTTTCTCAAAAGCTACGCTTCCAATTTTTATAATAAGCGTTCAATCTAGAAATTCTGTTTTGGAAATGCTTTTGCTAACAAGGTTACGGCTTTTTTTTCACAAAAAATTATTGAATTCGGAAAGTCAACTAAGTTTATAAGTTTTTGACCGTTTTTCAGAAATTTTTTGACTTTTCTTATAAACTGCCCAGTTAAATTTGATATGAAGTGGTGAATCGAATGAACCGGTTGCAAAAGTTTTTCCCGAAGAAGCGGCGTCTCCTTAATTTTTTGTGAAAAACGTTATGTTTTTTGGAAGATTTCAATGTCCCATAAATTTTCACCCTTTTCGTTCATTTTAGTAGAGAAACAAATAAGGTTTTGGGCTAAGCCAATTTGTCGAAAATCACTCATTTCATTACACGTCAGTTTAAAAGTTTTATCAAAACAGCCACTTACAGCTTTATTTGGACCCCTAGTTATCTTTCATCGAGACATACACAAGTTTTGGTTCTTGTTTTTGTTTGTTTTTTTTTTGGTTCTTGTTGGTTCTTGTTTTTGATTTTTCGTTTTGTTTTGTTTTGTTTTTGTTCGGTTTTGTGTTTTTTTTTGGGTTGTATCACACTGTTTTGCCTCTGCGTTTAAAGTATTATTAAATGGCATCTTTGATAGTCTGCTGCCAAACGGTTTTAGAATTTAAGATCGAATATTTTGAATTCTTAAATACTTGAATCACTTACGCTTTTTTGTCCAGGAGTTTTTACAAAAGATCT